CCACCCACGAGCCAGCAGGGGGATTTAGGGCAGGATCCCTAGAGGAATCCATGGGAGAGGGTCCCCTCCTTCAGCTCTTCCCACTTTCTCTTTGCCAGGACCGAGAGCTGCGGCCTGAAGAAATTGAAGGTGAGACTTGCCTGCCTCAAGGCCGGGAGTGGGGGAGTCTTTGCCCTGGCTGGGGCGTGTGACGGTGCCAGGGTGCTGGCAGTGATGCTGCGCTGTCCCCAGAGCTGAAGCAGGCCTTCCGGGAGTTCGACAAAGACCACGACGGGTACATCAGCTACAAGGACCTGGGAGAGTGCATGCGGACCATGGGCTATATGCCCACCGAGATGGAGCTCATCGAGCTGTCCCAGCAGATCAGTATGTGGTGGGGTGTGGTGGGGCCCTTGGTGATCCCTGCCCTCCTCAGTGACACCCTGCTTCTCCCACAGCCGGAGGCAAGGTGGATTTTGATGATTTTGTGGAGCTGATGGGGCCCAAGATGCTGGCAGAGACAGCAGACATGATTGGAATCAAGGAGCTGCGCGACGCCTTCCGTGAGGTGAGGGGACGGAGGCGGGGGGGGACAGCACGGGCACTGGCTGATGCACCGAGGGCGGCTGTTGCTGATGGGCACTCGCCTTGCAGTTTGACACCAACGGGGACGGGCAGATCAGCATGGCGGAGCTGCGGGAAGCTATGCGCAAGCTTCTGGGGCAGCAGCTGAACTACCGGGAGGTGGACGAGATCCTCAAGGATGTGGATCTCAACGGGGACGGCCTGGTGGACTTCGAAGGTAGGGGTCAGGGAGGGGGCTGGGAACATCCCCGGGAATATTTGGGGTGTCCTGTACCTGTTCTCTTGCCGGCAGAGTTTGTGCGGATGATGTCGCGCTGAGGGTGGCGCATGCCAACGCAGGACCTGAGCCCCCGCCGTGCCTTACGAAGAGGAGGGGGCTGCAGAGGAGATGCTTGGCTCCAGCTGCTGCGGCTGGGGACGTGTCGGCGCGGCGTGGCACGTCCGAGCCCGGGGCAAAGCCCTCACTTCTTTAGCGCTGGAAGTGCTCAGACTCACTGGAGGTGCTCAGAGGTCCGACCGCAGCGTAGGGCGCCGAGGCTGACACCGGGCCCCTTTCGGCACAGACTCGGCTGGACGTCGGCCGCTCTCGCTCTGATCTCTGCTCTCTCCCACTTCCTGCCCTGCAGTGTCTCCCTTCCCAACGAGCCATTCCCCTCTCCTCCATCTCTACTGCCTCACATCTCCAGCCTTAATTGTGACCTCAATCTCCAACACCCAGCCCCTCATCCCTGTGATTTCTGGCTGACCCTATAACATCACCTCCTCTGCGACCGGGGTTTGCTCTCAGACTTACCCCAGCCCCCAGTGGGTGAGGCATCCCTGGACTTTTGGGGCTGGCATGGGCCCTCATAGACACTCTGTCTGGCCCCCAGTGCAGGAAAGGGCTCCTTGGGGCTTTGGCCAGGGCACCTTTGGACAAAGAAGCTGTTCTTGCATGGGTGGGAAAGGGAGCGGCATGCTGCAGGCAGGGCACCAGCACACGGCCAGGCACACTGCCCACCCGGGACGTGCTTTGGGGTAATTCGTGCACCTCTAAGTTAAGGAAATCCCCACCTAGGGATGGACGGGGGCTGAGCAAATGTATTACTTTTTCAATCTTTGCCCTTTTGGAATGAAAATTTCCTCTCTAACGGAGTTTTGTGTATCCTACTGTCGAGTTTAAATGGGATTCACCACAGTTGTCCATCACCACCCTGTACCCCC